TCGCTCTCCATATTTAAAAGGGCACCAACCAAAAACTACTGCGTAGAATTAATTGGAATTTTTCACACACAAGCCTTGCTATATGAGCTCTCAAAGCATATAAAAATTATACGGCTTAAATGTGAAGTTGGGTGCAAAAGAATACAATTAAATCCTCTGTCCGGAAAAAACGAAATGACTTTCCGAACAACCCGATAGTTATGGAGGTACAAGGGAATAGAAATTCACAACCACATATTTTTGAAATAATTTATCCTATTTGTTGCATTTAATTAAAATAAAAAAATCTTTCCTTTTTTCGATTAAAGTCATATTTCACACGGCTGCCATTTAAACGAAACCCTATTTTTTCTATTTTCGAACAATCTGTATAGTAAATCAAACTTACATGCTGCAGACGATCTTGTATTAAAATAGGGAGCAAGTTTTGTTTGAATATTTTTTCGATTAAAACTTACAGTTTGGCCGCAATGAGCATATTACGAGCTTTTTGCACCACCCTGTATATAAGTAAAAGAAGAATAAATCGGGCGTTGCGGTGTGACAACGATAGACACAGACACATCATGGCCCCTTCTGTTATTTGCTTTGCAATTTATTTTATAAATGTAGCCTTGAGATAACCGACAACATTTTCAATCACGCATTTATCTTTTTCTTTTCACATTTAGTTAATTACAGGACGACCATGGTCGTTAGTGAAAATTCTTATAAAATAAACAAACAGACTTCATTGACGTGCTGAACGGTATGAAGCCTAATAGAACGCACCCTACTTATCCATAGCATAAAATGACTTTATCCTGCACCTATGGTTCTATAGATCAAGGAGATAAGGAGACAGCTATCATGACAGCTATTATCTAATCTATGGGGAGATAGCTTTGATTTCGTGGGAATTACCGAGGCGGAGTGTCACAAATGTGAAGTGCGTTATAATTGATTACTAAGTTACGTGCCTCTTTTTCGATAGGTAAGCGATCAACAATTTAATTTTAGAATCTATTAAATGTTCTGGTTCAAACATTATATTTACGTTAGTTTTCAGGTATGTTACTTATTTTGAAATATCTATGTGTAACATATTTAAAATAATCTTTTCTTCCATATGTATAGGTATTAAAAGGTCCCTTGGTATTAACATAATAATTATGCCATACCCAGGAGCTGCTTTTGCTATTGCAGTTGGAGTAGCTTTAGGAGCAGCTGTTTATTACTATTTTTTCAATGATGAGGAACAGCGACAACAACATAGACAGAACACTTATGGTAGATCTAGACAATACACTTATGATATACCCAGAGCTACACAGAACACCTATGATAGATCTACACAGAAGACCTACGATAAATCTACACAGAAAACCTATGATAAATCTACACAGAACACGTATGATAGATCTACACAAAACACCTATAATAGATCTACACAGACCACATACGATAGACCTAGGCAAAGTACTTATGAGAGTTCTCGGCAGAATACTAATGATAAACTAATTAAGACTGAACTGTAAGTATTTTAATTGTTAGAGAATGTTTATTCCTATATCTAATGTTCTGTATTCAGGACTCGAGAAAAGAAAGATAATTGCTGCACAATCTGCTCACAATTAATGACTAGAGGAGTAAGGAAATTATCTTGTGGCCATGCTTTTCATTCTAGATGTGTTACTAAATGGATAAATGACCATAAAAGTTGTCCAAGTTGCAGAAGTTATCAATCTAATGTTGAGAAGCCAAAACAACATAAGCAGAACTCTTATGGTAGACCAAATCGTTCTGAATTGTAAGTATTTTAAAGTAATTAAGATTAATCCTATATAGAATGTTCTTTTTATAGTGAAAAAAAAGAGAAAGAAAAATGCACTATCTGTTTGGAAGAAATGATTGGATGTATAATAAAATTACCTTGTGGTCATATTTTTCATAACAGATGTTTTACTAAGTGGATAAATACCAATAACAGTTGTCCAAATTGCAGAAGTTATCAGTCTGCATAATTCAATATAAAATTGCCAGTGACATGATTCAGAATAACAAACATTTCACTTACTCTAATGATGTGATATCTTCTACAAGTACTAAAAACATTGTTATTCATTGTAATAATATTTAGATTTAAAATGTGCCTTCTAGATTTGTATTTATAGTTGTTTTTAAATTAAATTAATGAATAAGCAAAAATGGCGTATGTATGTGCAAATTATTAAACTAAAACAAAAGTTGGGTTCTGGAAAGAAGAAATCCTAATAGTATTGACATTCACTTAACTATATAATAGCAGACAGAAGTTCAAAAAAGCTATAACGACATTTTATAATGAGATTATTTTTAAATGATATTAAATAAGTAATGCCTTTGAATTAGTTTTTTCATTGTTCACATGGTTTTTCTCTTTAATAATAAAATGGTTTAATAAACACTTTTGTATGAAACTAGCCTGTTTTCATTTTTTACTGTTTGATACTTACTATAAAAAGATACAGCATAACATTAGTTTAAGGGAGTTTTCTTCAAAAACAAATAATAAACAGTTGAATGGAAATTCACCCAAACTTGCCTAAACATGCCAAAGAAATGCTCATTTTTTTGTTTTTAGAGGGTACTTATGAGAAAGTTTATTAATGATACTATTTCATAGCTATTAATGTGAAGTCTTATGGGAATTGACTGCAAAGCATCAGTTAATTCCTGGATGCCCTTTAAATGACGAACAGATTTCAATAAAATGTAATATAATAATGAATAATTGCCTAAAAAACAATTTCGTAAATTCAAATTATGTAAAAGGTATTTCTATTACAAATATTAAATAAATTGAACAAAAAAGTAACTAAGAAATAGACTTACTTTTACTTCTTCTTGCTAAATTGTGTAAACAAACATTTCAAATTAAAAAATTAACTAAAACTGCTGCTACTCGCGACTATTAATAGAAACTGAGTGTATATTTTGACTTAAGTATAAAAAACAGAAGAGTAGATTAGAGTAATAGAAGTACCAATTTTATTAATTTTTGAACGCAGTAATTCATTCTGTTCAATGGAATACTGTGTATTTATTTCATTTGTCCTTTATCTATGATCTGAACGTACATTTACCAATCGTGTGAAGCTGGCACTCTATATTTAAACATTACGAATAATTTGTGCGTCGTTTGCGGGTTCTAACTATGTAATATGAAAAATGGAAAATTGTTTCGGGTTCAGGTGGAAATTCAATGTTGAGTTATTCAAAATCTACTGAAGATATCATAATCTAATTCATGCCAATCGATTGCACATAATTTGTGCTTGAAGACTGATTTAATATATGGTAAAAGGAATTTATATTTATATTGTTTATTAGTTATGATTACGTCTAATAGTTAATTTTTCATTGATATTACTAATAGGCGTGTGGCATTGGTGATTCATAGATAATAATATGAAAATACTAACGCCATTGAAAAATTAGGTATTATTTGTAATTATTAATAATAAATAATATAGAAATAAACTTTACTTATGATAATAGTTCAAACTTCAAGCACAAATGATGCGCAATCAATTGGCGTCAATTAAATTATCATATTTCCAGTAGTTCTTGAATTAATCGGCTTTTAATTTCCACCTGCACCTGAAACAATTTACTTTTTTTTAATAGAACTAATGGACGCACAACTATGATACGACGCACAATTTATTGATAATTGTAGGAGTAGTTATCTATGATTGACATTTTGGATATGATCTTTGAACTATGGATATGATTTGGAAATGTTTTAAACGATTTTGCCTGCTTTGGTTCGCTTGCTGGGTTTTACCGAAGTGACCGGAGCGGTATTTCAGTAATTGTAAGTTTCCTTTATAATTGATTTTGTAATATTTTATTTATGGTTAACTCCTTTTACACACTGAAGTAGTTATCAATTTAATTTTTTCCTCTATTTGTGTTGAAAGATTTAAGTGATTAATTTAAATTTAATAAATATCAAATTTTTTGGCTCAAACATTACAGTTACATCAGCTATATTTTTCGGTTATGTTTATTGTATTTAAAATATGTTCTTTGTAAGTAGGTATAATAATTATGCCATACCCAGGAGTTGTTTTTGCTGTTGTACTTGGGGTAGCTGTAGGTGCAGCTTTTTATTATTACTTTTGCAATGAAGAGGAGAAGCCACAAAAACACAGACAATTTACTCATGATAGACCCAGTCGTTCTGAATCGTATGTATTTGAAGATAAGAAAATGTTTAATACTATAACTAATATTTTTTTTATAGGACAGAAAGAAAGATTTCTTGCAGCATCTGTTTAGATGAAATGACTGTGACTACACAAGTAAGGGCATTATCTTGTGGCCATGTTTTTCATTATGGATGTATTACTAAATGGATAAGTTGTCAAAAAAGTTGCCCAATTTGTAGAACTCGCCAATCGTATAAGTGAGCATAACAGGTTTTTAATGTATATGTAAAGACATGCAGCTTTCACATGTAGTAAAAGGAAAATATTCATCATAATTATATCTAAAATGTGCCTTCTGGACATCTCTTTATAGAGTTCCATTTTGGGATATGTATAAGTATAACAATCGTGTTGTTTTATACATTTTTTTTTACTTTAATGTATACATAAAAAAGTATGTGTATACTTATTTAAGGCTTGGGAGTTGATTGTTACATATGATGTAGTAAATAATACATTTGCAAAATTTGATTTGATAAAGCTGTTAAATTAATTATGAAACAAAATTGATGCATTAATCCAATGACAAATGAGTTTCATCCTTTTAAAAGTGACTAAAATAATGCAGTCTTTTATCTCGTTCAATGAGTTATTTACGTTTTCTTGCAAAACTAATGTCTGTAACAGCTCCCAAATCTTATGTGGAAATACATATCCATCTTGTATTCTTTATTCATTTGATTTTTTATTTTAAAGTGACTTGGAAAACTATCTGCCTTGTAATTGTCTTAACGAATAAAAAAGAAAGGTGTGGGTACACAATACAAGATTGTTAATTAATTGAAAGTTTTTAAAAACTAAATAAGTAAAATAGGGAATAATAAGAAATATATATTCATCTTACATTTAGATTTAGAGGTGTACATTGTTTATTTGGGGAAGAAACAACTGGTGTTATAAATTGATTGTAGTTTTATAATGTGCAAACAGTAGTAATTAAAAAATAAGTCTAATTTCTATGAAATAATTGTATGATTATGCTGGTTTTATAAATCACAAATATCAATGTATGTAATCAGCTATCAAATATAAAAGAGTAACATGTTGAAAGGTTGTGCTTCATATTATATTTATTTCTAAGTTTTTGATGTATTTTTACATTTAATAATAAATTTCTGTAAAAAGCTTTGTATAAAACTTCAATTTTTTTAAATTTAAGTTCCATATACCAATGTATATGACAGTTAATTATTTAAGGAACTACTAATGTTGTATTTAAAATTTCTCACAATTGCAAAAATGAGAGATTTCGTTAAATTTAAAAGGGGATACCAGGGTTAAGGGGTATTAAAAGATGGACTGTGTTTACACTTTTTTAAACGATTCTTTTTTGTTGTCTGATTTATGACCCCTAGTGAGATGGCACTGCAAGCCCTATTGCAAATAATTCATAGATTTCGTAAACAACTCAAATTTGTTACTACCTATTAGAAATAGTGTGTGGTCGATGACTCAATAATATACAGGGTGTTCCTGAAATAAGTAGCACACTTGCAGGAGGTGATAGGGCACTATTAAACAAGAATATTATGCTAATGTTTGGTGGTCTCAAAGTCCACCGTTTTCAAGAAAAACGTATTTGAAGTATGTATGCAGCTAGTCAATTTTATAAAATTACAATTGCCTATTCAGAGGATATTAATTTACCTAATATTAATGTTTACCTGTAGTTAATTTTTCCTTTTTTGTGTGCTCTTAGCAATGGGCGTCAAAACAATATGTGTAGTAACGTAGTAATAAGCTGTTGATATTTACTTTACACAACATAATCGTTACTGTTTACATTCTCCATCGATGTTGATGCATAGTTGTTATTGCAATTTATCTGTACGTTGCCAATTCTAGCTCGGTTTGCAACTTCTTGTGATTTTATTACGTTTTTTTTGTCTCTTAATCGAATCTCTTTTTGTTGTTATTGTTATTTGCAAAGGTGCACTGTTTGAGAGCTTCCAATATTTATTGTCGAATCGGTGGTCAACGGTTATGTCTGTGTTGAATGTTATTAATCTTTTGACTTTGTTTCTTGAAAAATAGTATAGTGTTGTTTGCGTCTAATAAGTAATCATATTTATCATAGCACATAAAGGAATGGGGTGGGAGGTATTGCGAAAATGCCTCGTTAGAGAAATCTGTGTTAACATTAAGGCTAAAATCATTTAAGTAATGGTTGTCGATTTTAAGGAAATTGGCGAGATAATTGGGACCAAGTTGTTTGTTCTGGGGATTTAAGCCTTATAAATTACTTTAGCATTAAAGTACTTATTTGTTTTGGGGTTTTGGAGGGACGAAGGCATCGTGAAAGCAATCTTTTGAATTTTCTGAGCTTTTCTGTGTAAGTACTGCATATGTGATGAGAGGCCTCATCTAACTAGGAGGGAGTTAATCGTAACAGTAAATAGATGACTAAAAGAACGGGAGTCGTGAGTAAAAACATCGGGAACTACTTGTAATAAAATTATTTGGTACTTTTGAAACTTGATATGTTCACATTTACTGTCTTTTATTTTAAAACAACAAGCAAAAACAACAATGCCGATAGGGTATAGCAACACATCTACAAGATACCGTGCTCTAAGCGCCGCAATTTTTCTGCATGCTCGTAGCGTCGCGATAAAAGTAGTTACCTTTTTGTGGCGTGCTCCTAATAACGTATAAGCCTATCTTCAGTAACTTTTATTGTACTGAGGCTATACCATTGCTTAGCATTGAGGAGGACACTTGTTTGATTTCGGGGTCCATCTGTTCTGGTCCAAGTTTTTCTGTGATTTCTTTGGATCACTTATTGGGTAAATGCTGGGGCAGTAGTATTTTACATTGAGGAGGACACATGTTCGATTTTGGGTCCATCTGATCTGGTCCAAGTTTTTCTGTGATTTCTTTGGACCACTTATTGGTCAAATGCTGGGGCATTAGTATTTCACATTTTCATTTCGTCATCCGTCTCATTTTTTTTTCACCCCAACTACCATACCCTCATTCCCACGATTTCCAAAAGGCCGAAGAGGGCCTACCGCCCTACATTCCGGCATAGTCCAGAGCAACTCCCTGATCATCAGCATCAATAGCTGGTGGAAATGAAACACCCAAAAAATTTTTTTAACTTTGTTAATATTGATGTACCACGATTTTTGTTGTTTGGTTGTCGGTGTGGTGTTTTAAATCCAAAATAGTTCCAAACTTTTAGCCATTACCTTACAAAATAATCATTAAATTGTATAATTTGGTTGGAAGGTTCCATTATTTTTAAAAAAATCATCGACAATAAAATTTTCTAGTATGTGGACGACAGCTGCTAAAGTCATATATGAAGCGGAATCATATCTTCTTTACGACATTGTTTCGTCAAGTATCGTATAATTGAAAAATCAGCCCTGGAGTGCGACTATTAAGGTTTCGGTATATTTATCAAAATCGAAAATTTGATAATGATAATTTCTGTTAGTCAGTAGCACTACGGCCTTTCTATATATTATTGTTGTTTACTTGGTATCAAATTATGATAAAAACATTAATTTAAGCAAGTAAACCAGTTTTGGTAAAGGTCTACATGATGGCATCCATCGGGGGTGGGGATGGTAGGATCGAAAGAGGTCTCCCCCATCACTGTACCATAAAAAGTTCGTGGCGGTCTTACCCCCATAAAAAGTTATAGGGGTTCAAAGTTAATAAATATGCCAATTTTTATACATTTCTAGGCATGTAAATATATATGAAAAATACATAACAATATTGAGAAAGTTATATAAAACATTATTTAAATATCTTTATCAATAGGGTAGGTTAGGTTAGGTTAAGTTAGGTTATCGAGTTTTGTTTAAGTGACCACCCTTTTTCGATCCCTAACCTCCGCCCGCTTGAAAATATTTTTTTTATTAAATTTTATTTGAACTACCTATAGNATTGAATTGTTTAATTGCATATTCGCATAAAAATTCTTCTGAACACAGAACAAACGTTGTCACTCACTGCGTAATAAGGGACATTAAGGGGAAATCCAAATGTGGTATTTGCGAAAAATTGCAATGGTAAATAAAAAATATATAGGTATAAATATATGTGTTTTGAAACTGGGAAGTTCGTAGAACTAGATAATACCTAGAAAAACAAACACAAAATTTTCAAAACTAACCTTATGCATATCTTAAGACAGAGCACCGGCTCTTTGGTAGGGATGTTCTCTGATCTGGCCCAAATGTCTACGCTGCTTAGCAGCAACAGCAGCGGCACCTGCGCAGATGACTCATTAAACCACAAGTAATAACATACAGTCTTGTTACCACATTAACATTGTTCTAAAATTAACAATCAACAAAAGTATTCATTTGTCTAGGTATTGAGAAAATTCGAGTAACTACCAACCGGATCTGAACCTACGTATTTACTTACGAAAATAATGTAAACATTTCATGTTCAAAATTCCGAGCACTTAAGTAAAAATAGGTAGTAAGTACCTATTTATACATACCAAAAATTTATGTTATATTTTGTATTAGAAATTAATGAAAGTTAGACAAATAAACATTACGAAGTATGAACTACACAGGGCAATAAAGATAAATAAGTTTTCAGAGTTGTTTAGTCCAGTCAAATGAGGGAAATGGAGAAAATGATTGAAACACGGGTCATTTTATCGGAAATTTCGTGAGGAACGCGAATATGTAAATGAAAATTATTTTCTCGGCATAAGGGGCGAGAAAATCCGCAAAAACAATTGTAAATTATATTATCTCGCGAAATATAAAAGATATGGAAAAAAAGTTTCAAAGGTTTTGCACAATACGATTTTGCAAAAGAAAGTATTGATGACTTTTCATATCTCTCATGGAACAATAGTTCTCCGCGCCCAATGGCAGAGATCTCAAAATTCGCGGAAATTTTTAATAAAGTGATACATGGTAAGTTCATGTATATCAATCTGCAAATAAAAGAGTAAATACGATATATATATATGAGACTGTATACATGTATGTATGTATCATGTAGGTATATTTAAATATGAACTCATACATACCACATATATATTTAGGTACTTATCTACTACTTAAACTATAAAACTCTCAACAGTCCAGTGAATTAATTACAAAAATAAGTAATTTTTTATTGCTAAGTACTTAATAACATGATAACAATCAAAGCAATTTTTATTAATGAGAAAATCAAAATTATTTCATTGTTGTCCTCTTTTCTACTTCGAAAGAGTTTTACACAACTAATTAATAAAAGGAAGTGCAGTGTTGTTTAATATGAAATACATCAGTGTTAATTAAACACAACCGATTGTTTTTCATTTTGCAAAGTACTTGTTAACTAATTAACAAAAATACAAGTATATTAGAACTTAACGTAACTATAAAACTCTTTCGGAAAATTTGTTCTATTTAAAGTCAATGCTAGAACAACTACGATGTTTTTTTAAGTGAAGAATAGTGACAATCTACCATACAGATTATATTTTTGTTACTTTTATCATTTTAATTATTGCTGGCAATATAAAAGAATTATTTATAATGCAAATCTAAAATCTACAAAAATCTCAACACATGCAATTATAAAGTAACATTAAAATTACGATTTAATTAATTAATACTTGTGTACAGTATGTATTATTACAGAAAAAAAACACACCATAACATATTGTTTCTTCTATTTAAAACAACTATAATAAGACGAAAATAATGAAAATACTTAATTAATAATGTAGATTTAGTGAAATCTAATACTGCATGCTGTATTTCCACTTCTATTTCGCCTTTAATTTAGCAATGAAATTGCACAATAAANATATTTCAGAAATATAAATTTTTATAGTTGAGTATTATTAATTATGTTACTGCTAAAAATACTACATACTTTATAAAGCAAATCTAATTTTCTAGTCCAATGGAAATTAGTTAGTTATTAAACCGAAAAGAACTTTATCTGCTAAATATGGCAATTTTCATTTGCGTAACCGAGAAATATTTGAAAGAAAAAAACTCATATTAAAAAAAAAATCGCTTCAAAACCGGAAAAAAGTGATACATGGTAAGTTCATGTATATCAATCTGCAAATAAAAGAGTAAATACGATATATATATATGAGACTGTATACATGTATGTATGTATCATGTAGGTATATTTAAATATGAACTCATACATACCACATATATATTTAGGTACTTATCTACTACTTAAACTATAAAACTCTCAACAGTCCAGTGAATTAATTACAAAAATAAGTAATTTTTTATTGCTAAGTACTTAATAACATGATAACAATCAAAGCAATTTTTATTAATGAGAAAATCAAAATTATTTCATTGTTGTCCTCTTTTCTACTTCGAAAGAGTTTTACACAACTAATTAATAAAAGGAAGTGCAGTGTTGTTTAATATGAAATACATCAGTGTTAATTAAACACAACCGATTGTTTTTCATTTTGCAAAGTACTTGTTAACTAATTAACAAAAATACAAGTATATTAGAACTTAACGTAACTATAAAACTCTTTCGGAAAATTTGTTCTATTTAAAGTCAATGCTAGAACAACTACGATGTTTTTTTAAGTGAAGAATAGTGACAATCTACCATACAGATTATATTTTTGTTACTTTTATCATTTTAATTATTGCTGGCAATATAAAAGAATTATTTATAATGCAAATCTAAAATCTACAAAAATCTCAACACATGCAATTATAAAGTAACATTAAAATTACGATTTAATTAATTAATACTTGTGTACAGTATGTATTATTACAGAAAAAAAACACACCATAACATATTGTTTCTTCTATTTAAAACAACTATAATAAGACGAAAATAATGAAAATACTTAATTAATAATGTAGATTTAGTGAAATCTAATACTGCATGCTGTATTTCCACTTCTATTTCGCCTTTAATTTAGCAATGAAATTGCACAATAAATTTTAAATAATATATGTATATTTTATTTTTATTGCACTTAATATAAATTAATATTGCTTTTCATTGTATACAACGAAAGTCTTTTTCGTAAGGTTTTCTTGATTCATAAGCCAATAACAAAGGGTGTGAGGAAATTGTAAAGATTACTTCATAGTAATTTGCATGGGTGAATTCCTTACGTGATTATCCGCGACAAAAATCGTATAAATTGCTTGATTTTTTTTAATTTTAATTAATAATTACGTCAATTCTACCAGTACATATTATACTACAATAACCAACAATGAATATAAAATAATATCTAAGCAGCTCATTTTATTTTTCTTTTAATTTCTAGTACCATTGTACAGAATATCTCAAATATTTTAATAATGTTGATATACTTACCATTTAAAACATGTTGGATTTTGTTTTTGTAGAAATTAAATAGTTGTACACATCGAAGTATAAAAAAAGACCATATATATATAGAACTGAGTTTCATGCGATTGATGTTCAAATTAAACCAGAATGAAGGTAAATTATTCTCAAAGTTACCTCGACTAAAAATGTGAAAAGTCTATGGCCCACTGAGGTCTACAATTAAGTACTGTTGTGAATATATTTTCTTGCAAAGGAGATTCGTAATTGTTTCAAAGTGGAAATTATGTTGAAACGGTCTAGATCATTACTTCCTTACCATCAAACAGAACATTACATCATTATTGGCACGTTAATTAATTTGTACTTGTTCGACATTAATAACATTAATCAATTAATCAATCTATTAATTATTAGTCATATATCCTTTGAATAATATATAGATTCGATACATATTATTCTATGCTAAAGCTCTGCATAAAAATTCGGCATTAACATCGTATATTTTTACAAAAGTTAGTTGCAAAACGATGCCCAAATGTTTAATATTAGAATTACATAATTGATTAATATAATATAGTGGATTTTGTTTTTCCTTCTTTTTTTTGTTGTTTTTTTTTTTTAATTATTTTTATAATATACGATGTTATTGTGAAATTGTTAGTGATGTGTGGTTAGACATACCGCTACCGCAGGTGGTCCGGTGTCCGGTTAGTGGAGTGGTGCAGGTGACAAGTTAGCACTCCAAGCCTACAGGCCGGGCAACCGAGTTAACAAGAAAAGAAAAGAAAAACAGATTGTTAGTATTTTTCATAGCTAATTCAAGGGCTTTTTTAAAAAAAAAAACAATAAATAAAAATATCGACTGACTCTACGGGATCGTAACATTTTCATTAACCCAGTCTAATATCGGTATTTGAAGAGTTTGCTTCTACTGCATATTGTGGTATGTTCTGACAATTGCGCTGAATATATTGTCTAAAAATATTTGATTGAAACAACATAACCGATATTAGTTGAAGCCGAAATAGAGACGATCGCTTAGGGGCAGTCATTAAAACTACTTACTGATCAAATAAAAAACAAAGAAAGAAAGTACTTTATAGACTGACTTGCTGTATTTGATCAATAAGTAATGTAATTAAATGTTTTTTTATATCGAACAATCTATTATTTTTTTACGCTACCTATAGTGTATGAAAATTGTCAAAGTAATCAACTTTCAACCACCACAAATGTTTAGGGGGGTGAGATCGCCGCAAATTTTTTATGGGGTTTTACTCAGGTAACCACCCTCTCTCGATCCCCCCTACCCCCACCCCCATCAAACCCCCATAACTTTTTATGGGGGTGAGACCGCCACGAACTTTTTATGGTACGTGGGCGAGACCTCCCCTTTCGATCCCACCCACCATCATGATCTAGACATTTACCCCTGTTTTTAAAAAGGAAAAATAGGCTTATAGACTGATTAGATGGTAGCGGCGCTAGTAGCATACTCCAGTTTTATTTATTTTTATGGCGTCGCTGCAAGCACTGAAAAGGTCAAATTGCTTAGAGCACGAACTCATCTACGAATTTCATTTCTTCCTTCAGATATAAACCTTTCTGTTACAGTTTCATAGAGCCATATGTGCTCAAGGTATCGAAAAGGATGAATTTCTTAACTACTACAGGCAAATT